TGCTGAGAGAGTAAATTTCAAATATTCTCACTACAAAAGATGTTAAGTATTTGAAGTGATAGATATGTCAATTAGCTTGATTTAATCATTCCACATTGTATTCATAAATCGTAACATCACTTTGTACCCCATTAATATATACAATTATAAATTGTCAATTTACAATGAAATTTGAAAAAAATTTAATGGCATTAAACAATGAACCTTTTATCATGCTCATGCTTCTGTAGGTCAGGAATTTGAGGGACACAACAGGAATAATTTGTTTCTGCTCCTTCATGAACGGGGGCCTCAGCTGGCTGGGTGGCTCCATTTGGCTGAAGACGTCTGGAGTAGGTCAACTGGGGCCATATGTCCAGCCTTAGTTATTCTCTACATGGTGTTTGCTGGGACTGAAATATCCAAGGTTGCTCCTTTATTCACATCTCTGGAGCCTGCATTAAGTCTGTTGGAACACTGTATCAGTTTCCTAGGACTGCTATAACAAATTACCATAGGCTCAGTGGTTGAAAACAACATAAATTTATTTTCTCACGGTTCTGGAATTTAGATATCTAAAATCATGGTATCAGCAGAGCATTCCATCTGAAATCTTCCTTGTGTCTTCCTAGCTTCTTGTGGCTCCCAGCAATTCTTGGCAGTCCTTGGCTTGTAGCTACATCACTCTAATCTCTGCTTCTGTCTTCACATGGCCTTCTTTCCTGTGTCTCTGTGTCTCTGTGTCCTCTTCTCTTTTTATAAGGACACCAGTCATTAGGTTTAGGGCTCACCCTAAGCCAGTATGACTTCATCTTAACTAATTACATCTGCAAAGACTCTGTTTCCAAATGAAGTCACCCTCTGAGGTTCCAGGTAGAAACGAATTTGAGGGGGACACTGCTGAAATCACTATAGCCAGGAACTGGCCAGCATCATTTTCTCTCTGCATAGCCTCTCCATATGGCTTGCTTGGGCTTTCTCACAGCATGGCAGCCTCAGGGTAGACTGACCTCTTCCATAATGGCTGGCTTTCCTCTGACCAAGCCTTCTAAGAGAAGAAGAAACTGCCAGTCTTCTTAAAGGCTAGTCCTAGAAATGACATGTATCATTTCCACTGTAATATAGCAGTCAAAGTTGTCCCAGCCTAGCCAAGACAGAAAAGGCAGGGAGAAATAGAATCCACCTCTAAATGAAGAGTAGAATGAATGTGCATAGAGGGAAGGACCTGAGGGCAGACACCCTGGAAACAAACCACCACACAGATCTATTTTTTTTGCCAGCTAAAGGGGATCATGAAATACAAATTAGTGAAAAAAACGTTACAAAACACCATATATATAATTTGATCCCATTTTTATTCTTAAAATATGTATATGGATATTTGCATTAAACATGTCTCAAAAATAGAGAGTATCAATAGTGATTATCTCTGCAAGTTGAGAATTTAAGTGATGGTAATTTTTTCTTCTGTTGAACAATATTTTCTAATATAGATTATACATGTGTTACTTCTGTAACAAAATAGAAGATGCAGAAAGTAAATGATCTATGATTTAGACAGGCTAATATTTTTTGGTGTTTCAATTGGGATATACAAATGGCAAGGCAGATTTCAAGAAGGAAAATCTAGACATAGATCTATCCAGTATAAACTTAGAAATGCTCATTTTTTTTTAAAGTCCTTTGTCATAGAGAGGGCAATGTAGATCAGGCACCCATCATCTTAAGGAGAAACATTTGGTGCATTGTAAACCCAAATCTCTCACGCCCAAGGAGCTTCTGAGCTCTCAATGCTGGGTCCAGAAGAAACAAAGCTGAAGGAACATCATTTATATCAAAGCTCCATGCAGTTGCAGTGACCTGAATCGAGTTCTTGAGATTCTAAAATGGTAGATATTCACTTTGTAGAAGACAAAAGGATCCCAGTATTCTCAGAGAAATCAGAGGCCCCTGCTTAGAGCCAATCTGCCCAAGCAGAACTAGACAGCTGCCTGTATAATATAGGTCAAAGGATTTCAAAACTATCCTACCAAAAAACACCAACTGTTTCCAATCCCTAAAAATTTTCATAATTTTGTAAGTGGATTAAGAGTTGCATGACTACATAATATTTCTGTTTTAAAAGACGAAGAAAAATATTTACAAATAAATATGCATACAGACAAAGGGGAAAGGTAGAAATACATGTGCAGAATTAATTGACTGGTCTCAAAAAGTAGGGCTGTGAGAGAATAAGAAATAGGACAAATGAATAATGGATTTCTATGAAAGGGTTGCACAGGCCTGAGTGATACCTTATGAGAGGATCCTAGGCAGTTACGGGAACTGTCTACATAAAATGAGTGTCTAGAGACATCTAACAGGGACAGAAAGTAAAGGCAAAGACGTATTTTGTCTATATCCCAATTTTTCCCACCCTGTCTGCCTCACCACTGAGCTGATACAAACCCTTAAAGACATTGAAACATACCTAAGTTCAGAGTAGTTCCATATAATCCTACCTAATGTGATCAACTATTTCCCCTAAAGAAAAGTCAAATTGACAAAGAACAAGAAGGAAAAAATGGATTGGGAATTTTCTGTTAATCCAAATATTCTAAGACTCTGAGAGAAAAACAAAAAATAAATGACATCTCAATCTACTTACCAACAGTTTCTTCAGATGCAGCAGTCAGAGATAAAAATTTTTTTGTATTTTCCATCTCCTCATTACTTTGCAAAGCTTCACTAGTTTTTGCAGACTAATGAAAGAAAAATTTAAATTTAAATATGGGCAAAGGTGGCAACTATACTCATTGATGTTTTTTCTTTCAACATAGTTCCCAATCATGTACAATGCAAACAAGAAGGATCAAGCCATTTTTGTTTCCTTAATTAGGAAATGTGTAAATGTTTCTTGTTCCTGCAAAATTCTGTCAATGGGAATTACCAGATAAAGTTGTAGTATATACCTATCATTATATGATAATTACCTTGCTTAAAGTATCCTAAAGTTTCTGCTTGATATTTTTATAACCAATGAGTAATCTAAAGGTATGTCATCAAATTAAAATTTCAGACATTTCAAGACTGATACTGTATTTTATTATGCTTCCATTTATAATTCTTGTTTCAAAGGAAATAAAAACTTGCTTTGAGATTCAATAGGAAAAATTGATAGGCTAACTTTTTTTCCTAAAATTTACAGAAGTCAGTCAACTGATCAAGAAGGGCTTTATCAAAAACAATCAATCTCTTATTACAGGTTACTTATGTAAAGGTACTCCCCTTTGAGGCACAAAATTCAAATATGAGCCAATGGGTATACATCAAGTTAGTGCCAACATCTACTCAATTCAACCCCTCCATACTATAGAGAATAAGACATTCAAGGAGGCCAAGGAAAGTTAATCAAGCACAGAAATTTGTTGACACAGAAGCAAATGGAACATGGTCCCAGACCTCAAGCATTTTACAGCTTTCTGAAGAAATCTTGACCAGCACATGAAACAGTAAACTCCTAAACTTGTTTGTCCCAAAGTTTTGCTCAAATAATGCTATCCACAGGGTTAAACTTCTGTGTATTTGTCTCTGCATCTCCAAACTGGAAGGTTGATGAAGAAAAAGCAGATATACATACTTGATGAAAGTAGCCATTACATCCCTTCCTATTCCAGAGACGGAGGAGCCCCAGCCTGACACTAAGAAGAGAGGTCTACTGGGCCCATCCATGGGGGCATGAACACACCAGTGCAGCGCCCAAATCTGGAATGCTGCAGACCAAGCTAACTTCTCTGGTTCCAGAAAATTATCACCCCCACTCCCCCCTCACACATACACATATACACATCACTGCCCCTACCTCCACAAAATAAAGCCATAAAGGCAGATCACATTACCACCACCGCAGTCTATGCTTTTCTTACTCATCTTAGAGGAAATTGTTTCTTACATGTCAGTATAAGGTTAGACAATTCTTACCTTAAGTTCTTCCCATAGCTTTATTCTCATTTCTAGCCCTTGCTTCTTAATTTCTTTTTCTCTATCTTGTCTCTTCACCAATATTTTATCAAATCTGTTCATCTTCTGAATAGCATCTTGAAGCTGAGAATCTAACTCTTTTAATTTGGGTTCATCTATATTATGTTGAAAGTAAGAATGGGTTTGAAGTTTAGGAAAAATATGAAGTTTTATTTTGTTTTTACCATTTGTTCTTTCATTCAATAAATATTTATGGCTGATGGTAATAACTACTACACTGGTGTCATGTAGCTTGATTTGCAAGGCGCTTTCATGTGTATTCTGTATATATTCATCTAACAGCCCTGTGAAATAGACATCTCTACTTCACAGTTGAAATAACTGAGTCTTTTCAAATAACTAATAAATTATAGCACTGGACTCAGAAATGGGTCTCTTATGATTTTAAATCCCAAATTGTTTCTCCTTCATTCTGCTATACCTTCTACACTCATCGTGAACAAATAGGAAATAAGAAATAAGACACAGACCCCATCCTGAAGCTGCTTCAGAGTAACTGAAAGAGAAGGCATATATACAAATAGCTATAGTAAAAAGTAGTATGTAAGTGACACAAAGTGGTTCCAACATATAGAAGAGACAAACTTAAACAAGTACTCCATGTAGCTAGACATCTTTTTTTCTATGCTCCTTCTATTTGTTCTAATTTCTTGAAGTATCTATTATAAAAAGGTTCTTGAGTTATAGAATAATTGACAGCAACATATTTGAAATTAAGGACTCTTTAGAACTTTTGTCATTCAAGTTTTAACTTATGATTAATGATAATGATAACTAACATTTATAGAGTTACCTGATAGGCACAGTTTTAAGTGCTTTATTTATATATATTATATCATGTAACCATCATAACCCTGTGAGGTGGTATATTCATTGTTCTCATTTTATAAATTAGTAAACTGAGCCTAATTTGTAAGTACATGTCCAAGGTGATACACCTGTTAAATGGCAGAGTCAGGTTCCACCCAAATCTGTCCAACTCCAGAGCCAAAGCTCTTAGCCATCAGGTGATACTCCCTCTGTGAAATGTGATGAAAGTTGATCATCTGGCAATTAGCACGAATGCTCAGATATTAAGTCTCAGCCACCCAGGTTAGAGCATTAAAACTGGCATAGTTCTAATTCAGCAACTTTTGAAAATCCAAAGAGTTCATTGATATTTCCCAATAATGTACATCACTTCCTCTTGAAGGAAAAAAAGGAGATATTGTTTTGAGGAAAGAGGATATTGATCATATTAATAAGGGGGCTCCTCCAATCTTATTGCTTAGGTACTTCAAAAGTAACAGCCTCTAGTTCTATTATAATTCCCAGCTGTCAATCCTAGCATTCTCAGGCTCCATGTACATAGGTAGTCTACACATAGCAGGCATATTGAAATAACTCACGCAGTACTGAAACAATACAAACAAACACAATATAAACTAGGCCAATAGCTAATCTCAATTATAATGCCTTGTTTCCTGATAACTGTAATCCTGAGTCACCTGACCTAAATTTGAGAGCTGATCTCATCCCAAACATACTCTAAATCAGCAGTCCTCAAATGTTTTATCTGCTCACCTTTACAGTCTTCAAAATTACTGAGAACTCAAAGTAGCTTTTATTTATGTGGGTTATATCTATTGATAACTACCATATTAGAAATTAAAACTGAAAAATATTATAAATATTCACTTATTAATTCATTTTATTTTTTCTATCTTTTTTATTTCATTTTAAAATAATAATAAGCATGCTATTACTAATTAGATGTTAACATAAATATCACATTTTTATGACAAATAACTATACTCTCCAAAAAAAATACTGGTAAGAGTTGCAATGTTTAAATGTTTAATACAAATTAAAAATTTGTATTAAACATTTTAATTTCATTAAATTAATTAAAACAGCTAGATTAATAGAATTAATGGATTAAAAGAATTAATGGATTCTCATATCTGCTTCTACAGTTAATCTATTGCAATCTGCTATTTTGGTTTAAGTATATAAAGAAAGTTTGGCCTCACACAGACATGTAGTTGGAAAAAGAAGGAGAAATTTAATAGCCTATTCAGATAATCAGATATTCTTCTTTGATACTACACCAAAACTTGACCGGGGTAGTTTCTTAAAGGTCAGTTGTAATGTGAAATCTATAACCATATCAGTGAGTTTTTTGTATTTGTCCATTAAAATCCATGGATCCATATCTCACGTAAAGAAAGGATCTTTTACCCTGCATTGATCATTTAGAAAATAAGTTAAGTGAATTATGCACACCTTCAAAATATTGACACATTTTATTACACAATATTTTAAAATCACCATTTGTTAATATCACCACTGATTTTTATAAGAAAAGTCTAAGTACTGGGAAGCTATCAAGCTCACAGTGACATACACAAGTTTTCCAAAATTCTAATTTTCACTTCAAAGCTCAAATTTTATCATTAGCAGCAAGTAACAGGCTCATTTCATTTTTTAAAAAAGAAGTCTGTGAAATACCCATGTCTCAATGATAATAGTTTGTCCATCTGTTGTTCTTTCAAGTAAAAATGGTGTTCCATTAAAAAAGTGGCCAGTTCAGGCCTCAATTCAAACTATCATACGAATACTTTTCCTCAAAACAACCTTCACACTTTGGTATGTGGCAGAATTGCTTTATGTGTACTTCCCATTTTGCCCCACAGGATATTAAGGAGATGCATATTCAAAGGTCAAGAGTTAATAAAATTAGTATTTTCTACTGTTTCATCAAGGACATCCTTGAATCACACTGGCTATTTCTTTTTCCTGCCAGGGCCTGGATGCAAAGAATACAATGAATACCAGTACACTTTGGTGCCATTGTCTTGACTCATGCTAAGGTATTAGCAATTTTGCCCACCATTACTTTTTTACCGTCAGTGCAAAAGTCAATACAGTAGGCAAAAGGCAAATAGCATCTCAGTGTTACTATGAAAACAGTTTTTACCTCAGAGAGCCCCCGAAAGGGTCTTGGAGACAACCACCACCCCCAGGGCTCTGCAGACCACATTTTGAGAACCAGTGTTTTAATTCAATCTGACCAGAATTATAATAATGTAATACTATGGAAAAAAGTAGTCTTTCAAAATCCAAATGTTATTATGATTGAGTGGGATTATCCCCAAAAAGGCATTTACAAATTACAGGACACATTTTATTGTACAATTTTAGTCATCAAAAAAAATCAATAAATCATGCCACAAAAAAGCAGAAATACTTCCTACTTAATGTATTAATAAAATGACCATAACAATTACATAAAATAGCATATTTTATTATATTTCTAAGTATATTTAAGGGCTCTTAATATTCTTATAAATAAAAAGTGATTGCTTGCTCACAAAAAGTATATCTCCCTTTTTTTAGTTTATTATTTCTACTTAGCTGATAAAAACACATCTAATTCTAATACTTTAATATATCATCTGTAATTATCATTAGCCAATCACCTAGTGATTATCCTACCTGAACACTCAGGGATTATCTGATGTTGAACCAAATCCAGATCTTCATCTGACCCCTCTTTGGCCAATTTTATTTTCTCAGAGTGATTTTCCCCTTTATCGTCGTTACTATTTCTTCTTTCCTCTGTATTACTGCAGTCTGAGTGGTCCTTTTTATCACAGTTCAACTTGCTTGCAGTATCAACCTAAAAATAATTTCCCAAAAAACAGTTTCTAAAAAATAATTTATTTTTTAAAACTTTATATTTCTAGAATATTTTAACACTCATAGAAGCATATGTGAGAACATACGTAAAAACATACACTAGCATTAAGTATTCTAGAAATATAACACTTATTAATTAAATGTAATTTAACTACACAATTAAATTTAATATTTATACCATTCTCTAACAACAATGGAAAAGGGTCTAAATCAGACCTGAAGAGAACTGCTATCTGCCAGGCTCTGGGGATGAGGCATGATGGACCCTGCTCCTTGAGCTTATACTCAGATGGAAAGTCAGAGATCTAGAGTTGAGCTGTCCAATACCAAAGCCACTTGCCACATGTTGCTATGAATGCTTGAAGAGTGGCTAGTCTGCACAGGCAGAGGAATGAAAAAGGACCCCTATCTCTCACCATATACAAAAATTAATTCAAGATGGATTAAAGACTTAAATGTAAGGCATGAAACCACAAAAATTCTAGAAGAAAACACAAGAAAAACTCTTCTAGACGGTCCTCAACAAAGAATTTATGACTAAGACCCCAAAGGCAAATACGGCAACAACAAAACTAAATAAATGAGATTTAATTAAACTAGAAACCTTCTGCACAGCAAAGGAAATAATCAACAAAGTAAATAGGCAATGGGAGAAAACAGTTGCATACTATGCATCTGACAAAGAACTATTATCCAGAACCTACAAAAAACTCCAACAAATCAGCAAGAAAAAAAACAACCCCATTAAAAAGAGGGCAAAAGACACAAACAGAATTTTTCAAAAAAAGATAGACAAATGGCCAAAAAACATGAAAAAATGTTCAACATCACTAATCATCAAGGAAATTCAAATTAAAACCACAATGAAATACCACTTTACCTCTGTCAGAATGGCCATTGCTAAAAAGTCAAAAAACAATAGATGCTGGCATGGATGCAGAGAAAAAGGAACGCTTATATACTGATGGTGGGACTGCAAACTAGTACAACCCCTATGGAAAACAATATGGAAATTCCTCAAAGAGATAAAAGTAGACCTACTATTCGATCCAGCAATCCCACTACTGGGTATCACCTAAAGAAAACGAAATCATTTTATCAAAAATACACCTGCACAATTCATAATTGTTTATTGCAGCACAATTCACAATTGCAATGATAGAGAATCAACCTAAGTGCCCATCAATTCATGAGTGGATAAAGAAAATGTGGTATATGGAGTACCATGGAGTACAACTCAGTCATAAAAAGAATGAAATGATGTCCTTCACAACAACTTGGATGGAAATGGAGACCATTATCCTAAGCGAAGTATCTCAGGAATCGAAAAACAAACACCACATGTTCTCACTAATACATGGGAGCTAAACGAGTGGTACACATTGGCACAAAGAGACATAAAGGACAACGTAAAATAAGAAGGGGGTAGGTGGGAGTGGGGGAAGTTAAAAACTTCCCCACCAAGCACAATGACACTATCCTGGTGGCTGGCACACTGAAAGCCCTGACTTCAGCATTACATAGTATATCCATGTAACAAAAACGTTTGTACCCCCTTAATATTTTGAAATTTAAAAAAAGTAGCTAGTCTGAATTGAGATATGCTTCCTAATGAGAGTCTTCTAATCAGAATCCTGTGTTTTAGTAATTTATTTATTGTTATGTTAGTCACAGTTTTTCTACTTCATTTTGGTTTCCCTTTACATTTTAACAAAGTTCATTCTGAAAACACCAGCTTGGCACAGCTGTGTTTTCCTAAGGGAGAATAAAAAAAGACATCCATGGCTAGGCCAGGAAAAAATGGGGCTCACAGGCCTAGGGCCTCTACGCACAGTGGTCAGAGTCACAGTGGAAGCGAACACAGTCCAATGGAGAGGCAAGACCTCAAATGCAGTATGTATGATAAAAACCAGACTGAAAAGCTACACGATTCCATTTACATGACCTTCCAGAAAAGGAAAAACTAAAGGGAGAGAGAATAGATCAGTAATTGTCAGGGATTAAGGATGAGAGGAGATTGTTTGCAAAGAAGTAAAATGAGGAAATTTTTTTGAGGGATGATGGAATTGTTTTATATCTTGATTGTGATGATGGTTACATCACTTGACCTATTTGTCAAAATTCATAGAACAATACACCAAAAGGTGAATTTTACTGCCCGTAAATTTTTAAATTAAAAACTGAAAGTTAATAAGAGATAAAAAGAGACACAATGTTAATAGATGTAAAAATTTAACATCATAAAGTTAGAAATTCTCCCCAAATTAATCTATAAAATCAAAGCAATTTCAATCAAAACTCCAATAGTATTTTTCAGGATTTGAAAAATCAATCTAAAATACATGTAGATGAGCAAATAGCCAAGCATAGCTAAGATATTCCTGAAAAAAAAATATAAGATAGGAGACCTACCCTGCCAGATACCAGTGATTATTACAAAACTGTAAGAGTTAACACAGTATAGTAATGATGTAGGATTTGATGAAATAAAACAGAGACCTGAGCTAGAAACTGTTCTCCGAAGTTGCTTGCAGCTAGGGTTCTAGAGGTTAGTATGATCCAATTAGATGTACCTGCACAAGATTTAGAAAGCAGAGAGGAGGTAGAAGCTTCTTTCTAAATTCCTGATAGGAAGTTGGCAAAAAATATCAAAGGCGGGCATCTCTGCACGTCTAGTCACCAGCTTTGTGGTCTGAGAGTCTTGTGGCCATGCTAGAAGCAGCAGTAGCAGCTTTCTCCTCTTTTTGCAGCCATGGTGGTGCGGCCTGGGAACCAACAATCCAGGGAAGCCTCCTCCTTGGATTTCCTTTCCTGCTGGCCTTCTGTTGGTTTTGAGGAGCTGAATTCTTGTACTCAATCCCTTTCTGCTTGAAATACCTAGAATGCTATTTCCTGCACTAAATCATGATAGACAAAACTTAAGAGTTCCCTAATGCTGAGTCCAGTCCATCAATCAAAAGAGTATATGAGTATGGATTCATTAACTTGCAAAGAAATTTTTCACTATAAGGTTCAAAATTTTTGTTTCCTACAACCTTGAAAGTAATAAATTGTACCATATCACAGATGAGAAAATAGATTCTATTTTTAAAACATCAAGTTTACATATTTTAAGAAAAAGAGACTACTAAAGAAAAGAAGGTCATGGTCAGGTAATACACCTAACAACTATACACCTATACACTACATGGCCTTTACCAAACGATTTTTTTTATATACTGAATCTTTTTCAATAGTGGAATATTAGATGTTAGAATACAAAGCTGCCTTATAAAGAAAAAAAAAGTCAACGCACAAGCCTTAACAAAGTACAGTGTGGACAAATAAACAACACTCCAAAAAAAGAAAGAAAAGAGGCAAGGATGGAGAGGTGAAGGGAAGGAGGAAGGAATTGAGGAGGTAGCGAGATTGGGGCAGAGGAAGGAAGGAAGGAAACAGCCAGAGTACTTCATATTAAATAATGTGGAGTAAAATCCAAGAAATCTGAAAGGGTTCCCTGAACACACGCTCTAAAAAGAAAACTTTAAATGGGATGTTAACAACAACCTTGGTTTCATCAATTGCTGAAATTTGGGAAGAAGGAGTTTAAATCATTTCTAAGCAACAAATTACCTTGAAAGACCCTGGTTCTGGTGAGAGCACTTCCAAAGAAGCATTTGAACTACTGCTCCCAGGACGTGTTCTTGAATTTGAGGCTGGTTTTGAAATTCCATCTAGGTTTCCCTTTATAATATCCATTGACATCCTGAAACAAACAAAAAATTAAAAAGTGACTTGGATATTTAAATGTTTCATTAGTTAGTGTTAATATCCGATTACTGGTCAGGCGCGGTGGCTCACGCCTGTAATCCTAGCTCTCTGGGAGGCCGAGGCGGGCGGATTGTTTGAGCTCAGGAGTTCGAAACCAGCCTGAGCAACAGCGAGAACCCGCCTCTACTAAAAATAGAAAGAAATTAATTGGACAACTAAAAATATATTGGAAAAAAAAAAAAAAAACTAGCCGGGCATGGTGGTGCATACCTGTAGTCCCAACTACTCGGGAGGCTGAGGCAGGAGGATTGCTTGAGTCCAGGAGTTTGAGGTTGCTGTGAGCTAGGCTGACGCCACGGCACTCACTCTAGCCCGGGCAACACAGTGAGACTCTGTCTCAAAAAAAAAAAAAAATATCCGATTACTCAGAGCCTTTGTTTTCAGCAATGTTACTACCAAAGTCACACTTAAGGGTTCTCCAATTTCATCAAAAGACATCTTGTATAGATGTTAAATCTTTTGCCACAGTAGGCACAAAACATACTGCCCAGGATGTTAGATACTGAACGTGGCTAAAAGAGAATGCAGAAGTGAATGTCATCTCGGTGGCTTTCTCTGCCTCCAGAAGAAAACATTTACTGTGTCCTTGGTCTTTCCTGAGGGAACACTTATGGGGCACCTCTGTCTCTCAACCAAAATGGACCTCATCTTAATGATTTTCTAAGGCCTCCCTGCTACCTTCTTCTGGTTTTCCCTTCCTTATTCTAGCCTTTCCCACTCTAGCTCAGCCTTAATTCTGGGCTTCCCTCCCAGCTCTGATTTCTCCTTTCCTTCTGATTGCCACATTTTCTTTAAGTACCTATCTCCAAGGCACTGCTCTCATTTTATCAACACTCCCCTTCTAATTCTACTTCTGCCCTTTGAGGCAAGACAACAAAACCTACTTCCTTTATTAGAGGACAGACTTTCATCACCTGCCTACACGTTGCCAATCTCTTTTAACTATTTTTCATGTGACAACATCCACAGGCCTCTGACCATCCTGACTATTCTATTCCCAGTGCTGTTTCCTGAAGCAAGAAATATCAGGCGGGTGGCTTACACTATAGGGAGGACATAGGCAATGCAGGCACACTGATCCTTCCAAACCATACCCTTGATCAGGACCATTCCAATTCGTCCAGCGATATTGGGTTAACATGCATGCTTAGTAAAATGGAAGAAATAGGGATAATTCCAGTTTTTGCTCTCTCAATACTTAGCTTTACATGTGAATAGATGCCTTCCAACAAATCCTTTCCTAAATCCTATCAATTATGTATTAAACCATTTCTCTTATAACAAAATGAAGAAAGACAATTGCCTCTACTACAACAATGTCCTTTTCTTACCCTACAAAATGACTCATCTTTCTTTCCTTTTTTGAAGAGCAGAAGCAGAATCCAGAGAAGCTTTGGGGATAGGAGGAAGCGGAAATATATTAATAAACAACCTGAGGCGCCTCCTAGGTCCATAGAAGGATAATACAACTTGGCCTCCAACCATTCAATGCACCAAAGCTGATGCTTAAGAGATCAGTTTCCCAGTAGGTCAACTCTTCCCATCTTAGCAAATGAAAAAGGCATTGATTGATCTCAACATTATTCAAACTCTGCAAAAGGGTTTGGGCTCACTTAGGAAGTGACATTATTATTGTGGGATGATGGATCACCCTGGCCCTTCACATCACAACCAAAAAGCATAAGTCACCAAAGGGCCAAATGTCTTGTAAATGCCCTAAGCAGCCTGACAAGGGAGACTTACCACAGCTCACAGACGGAGCAATGAGACGGAAGCACAGCAGCACCAGTACAATACATGTCAATAAAGAGAGGGGCACAGGGAACCATCAATGACCTGGATCATTTTTGGAGCTAAAAAGCTCCAGAAATCTTTCAATTTGCTTTAGAAATAGGTCTGTTCTATTATGTTCACTCCTGAAAATAATAAATTAAATTAAATACAGTTCCTGAGATAGATGGGGATACAATAGCAGCCTATCTTATGAACTTGGACAAATAGAAAAAAGTATGGATAAAGGGCATTGAAATAAGATCTTACAGATGTATTTCAGTGTTTGAGAAGAAATCTTAATTACCATGTGGAAATTACACAGGAAAAATAAAGCATGTACAAGAAAAGAAGCAATCAGTCAATATGTAAATAGTTATAATTACATAAGCACTGAAGGTTGATGTAACCAAATATTGTACCTCAATTATATTGAGTGTATATAAGGAGAAGTGTGCAAAAAGAAAGGGAGTAGTGTAAGAAATCTAATTTGTCATAATAGGAAATAAAAGAGAATGTCCAAAAGCTGATGAAACCAAACATTAGATAACATAATATTTAACAGTTCAAGATGGTTGGCTCTGGGGAATGAGACCAGGGAATGTTCTTTTTTTTCCTCCATTGTAAATGTTATTGTATACTTTGACATGTATATTACTTTAATAAAAGTAGAAAATAATTTTAAAATAAATAAATGTAAAATATGATATTTCCAAGGGACTAGAAGGAAACATAATTTATATAATTATAGAATTAAAAACTTATTAAGCATGACACTAAGAACATAAGCCAAAAAGAAGACTAATAGATTTGATTTCATAACATTTAATGCTCTTGAGTCTCAAACATAAAAAAGAATTTTAAGTGAAATTAAAAGGCACCAAAGAAACTGAGGAAAATATATGCAACATAGACGATATACAAAAGGTTAATAAACTTACATATTTATAGAGCTCTTACCAAGCAATAAGAAAAAAAATTCTAATAGAAAACTAACTAGGGGCATAAACAAGAATATATACATCCAAAAATAGAGAGAAAGAAAGAAATACAAACTGTCAATTTAAAAAGTCCAATTTCTCTAAAAAAGGAATATACAGAAAAGTACCTGAAAAGATGATCACACATCAAGGAAGTAAGAGTGATGAGTTCCAGATTGGTGGGTTCTTGGATGTTTTTATGCCCCTTTTTTTAACCTTTTGCTTATCTGTATTTTCTGGTTTTCTAATTTTTTTAATTCCAGAATATTATGGGGGTACAAATGCTTTGGTTACATAAATTGCTTTTGTACCATTTGAGTCAAAGTGTGCCCATCCCCTAGATAGTGTGCATTGTACCCATTAAGTGTGAATTTACCCATCCTCTCCTTCCCCCTCCCACCTGCCTGATTTCCAATGAATGTTATTTCCATATGTGCACATAAGTATTGATCAATTAGTTCCAGTTTAATGGTGAGTGCAGGTGGTGTTTGTTTTTCCATTCTTGTGATATTTCACTTATAAGAATGGTCTCCAGTTCCATCCAGGTTAATACAAGAGGTATTAGTTCATCATTTTTTATGGCTAAGTAGTACTCCATGGTATACATATCTCACATTTTATTAATCCACTCATGTATTGATGGGCACTTGGGTTGTTTCCACATCTTTACAACTGGTGAATTATGCTGCTGTAAACATTTGAGTACAGATGTCTTTTTTATAGAATGTCTTTTTTTCCTTTGGGTAAATACCCAATAGTAAGATTGCTGGATCAAATGGTAGTTCTGCTTCTAGTTCTCTGAGGTATCTCCATACTACTTTCCATAGAGGTTGTACTAGTTTGCAGTCCCACCAGCAGTGTATGAGTGTTCCCATCTCTCCGCATCCACGCCAACATGCTGTTTTGGGACTTTTTGATAAAAGCCATACTAACTGGAGTTAAGTGATTGTGGTTTTGATTTGCATTTCCCTGATGATCAGAGATGTTGGGCATTTTTTCATATGTTTGTTGGCCATTAGTCTATCTTCTTTTGAAAAATTTCTGTTCATGTCTTTTGCCCACTTTTGAATGGGGTTGTTTGATTTTTTTCTTGTTGATTTGCTTGAATTCTTTATAGATTCTAGTTATCAGCCCTTTATCAAATGTATAGCATGTAAATATTTTCTGTAGGTTGTCTGTTTGCTCTAATGATTGTTTCCTTGGCTGTACAGAAGCTTTTTAATTTAATCAGGTCCCACTTATTTATTTTTGTCATTGCTGTGATTCTTTGGGGGTCTTCTTCATAAATTCCCTAGGCCAATGTCTGTAAGAGTTTTTTCAACATTTTCTTCTAGAATTCTTTTATGAAGTATACCTTGCATTCATAATTAAAGAATTATTTATTACAGAAAGATTTCTAGAATTTACTAAAAAAGTATTCAAAAATAAATAAAAATCACCCAATGAACGTCTTACCACCCTGAGCTAATCACTAACTATTGGTACATTTCTTTCCCATTTTTGCTCTATGTCTTTTTCTACAAAGTAGGACTCATATATTTCTCACTTAACACTACATGATGAGCATTTTCTTATGACATTATAATACTTCAAAAATAGAATATTATTTACTTGATTAAACAGATAGACATATGACTAGATTCTAAAATGCAGCAAATTACTACTAATAAGAGCCAATTTTTTATAACATTCATTTAAAACGAGATTAAATTTTTCATATAGGCTTGTGAGAAATGCAACCACCATGGACGATTTAAAGCCAAAATGGGGACATATGGCTGAGTAATTTGATATTTTGGGATGAATAAAAGGATTTTTAAAAATGAGTCTTCCATTTAGTAATTATGGATAGCAAGCCTTAAAAAGCAGAATTAATTTATTTTCATGATTTTTGTCCAAAAATTATTTATGGTCAATTTTTTTGTTAAATATTTGTTTATTGCATAAGGAATACTTGCCTATGAGAAAAAAATATCAAATAACACAGAAAAACGTAAAAATCTTTAAAGTCAAAATTCCCCTCACCCCAAGAATCAGTGTTAATAGATTCTTGTAAGCCTCATTTTTTTAGGCATATGCAAATTTTCTATCTTTTACCTACTCCTCCCCAACACAAACACACACACAAATGGCATAGTGCTTTGCAACTTGCTTTTTCAGGCTTAACATACATTCAAGAGATTTTTCTGCATCATTATTTATAGATATTCTTCATGCTTTCAAATGACAGCATAATATTCCAGTGAATAGATGTAGCATTTTTTAATCAGCTCACTTGGTTTGTGTATAGAATATTTGCTATTAAAAACAGTATGAAAACTTAAGGAAGTCCTAGCAAGAGTAATCGGTCAAGAGAAAGAAATAAAAGGTATCCAAATTGGAAAGGAGGAAGTCGAATTGTCCCTGTTTGCAGACAACATATGGAGAAAACCCTAAAGATTCTACAAAAAAAAAAAACTCTTAGAACTGATAAACAACTTCAATAAAATTGTAGGATACAAAATCAATATACAAAAATCCATAGCATTTCTATACATGAACAATGAACTGGCTGAAAAAGAAATGAAGAGGCAATTTCATTTACAATAGCAACACAAAATATAAAATACCTAGGAAGAAATTTAACCAAGGAAGTGAACACCTCTATAAGAAAAACTATAAAACTTAGGAAAGAAATTAAAGAGGATACAAATAAAGACAATTCATGTTCCAGAATCATAAGAGTTAATATTGTTAAAATAAAAATACTATCCAAAGCAGATTCAATACAATCCCTATCAAAATACCAATGACATTCTTCCCAGAAATATTTTTAAAATCCTAAAATTTGTATGGAACCAAAAAAGACCCCACATAGGCAAAGCAATCCTGAGCAAAAAGAACATAGATGGAGGTATCATACTACTCGAAACATACTACAAATCTATAATAACCAAAACAGCATGGTGCTGGCATAAAAAGAGACATATAGACTGACGGAATAGAATAGAGAACCCAAAAATTAATCCACTTATCTACAGCCAACTGATTTTTAACAAAGGTGCCAAGAACACTCATTGGGGAAAAGACAGTCTTTTCCAATAAATGGTGATGGGGAAACTGGATATCCACATACAGAAGAATGAAACTAGACCCCCAACTCCCGTCCTATACAAAAATCAAGTCAAAATGGATCAAAAACCTAAATATAAGACCAGAAATGATAAAACTACTAGAGGAAAACACAGAGGAAACACTTCAGAACATTGGTCTGGGTAAAGATTTTAGGAAAAGACCTCAAAAGCACAGGCAACAAAAGCAGAAGTAAATAAATGGGATTATATCAAACTAAAAAGCTTTTGCACAGCAAAAGAAACAATCAACAGAGTGACAAGACAACCTCCAGAATGGGAGAAAATATTTGCAAACTACTCATTGGGCAGGGGATTAATATCTAGAACATAAGGAACTGAAACATAACAGCAAAAAAAAAATC